GGAGACCTCAAAAAGACAGTGAGAGTCACCTAAGAGGAGCTGTGTTCAGTATAGCCAGAGGCTAGTGCAGGAGGCTTGGGGCAGCAGACTTCTCTGGATCATCCCTTAAGCCCTCCAAGGTCAACCTGAGTGCCATCCTATGCTTGCTGCCCTAACAATGGCCGTTTCTAGTTTCTTTTAGCAGTGACAGCTTTAACCCTGAGCCCTTGGAAATACTGGGATCTTTACTGGCCAGACAGTTGTGGCCTCAGAATGGATGCAGTTTGCCAAAGTCTTTACCTTCCTTCAGCATGTCTTCTTTCCTGAGCTAATTCCAGGGAGAAGGCCAGAAGCTACCCTCTGAACATGAGCTATCTCTTTATATGCTTGGACTAACTTTATTCCCAGTGTATATGACATTCTCCCTGAGTGGCATCCACACTCACAGCCTATCTTGTCTTTGCTGGTGACACTAATGAGCACTTATGGGTGCCCAGAGTATCTCCTGTACTTGGCCCCTCTACTTCACATTTAATTCATTCCCTGCTTACAAGTGCTAACTTGATGATCTTGGCCCTACATCTTCTCTCTCTCTCTCTCTCTCTCTCTCTCTCTCTCTCTCTCTCTCTCTCTCTCTTTCCTTCTATTAGCTGAAAGGGAAATGGCAAGAGGGAGGAGGAGATGGGAGGAAAGGGGAGGTTCTTGGCTGAGTCACTTGGCTACGAATAAACTGCATCTTATTTGAGGCTTTCATTCCTGCCAGATGTTTCCCAGGGATAATTGACAGTCATCACAGTTATCTGGAACCCAAACTGTCCTTGTAATTAGTCTCTTTAGGCCTCTACAGCTCCCTAATGAAATAGATCAATAAAGGGATCCAATTCAGAGTGTATACATGGCTGGATGGAGAGCAGAGGTCTCATCTGGGTGACCCTGTCACTAGCCAGATGGGCTGAGCTGTCGCGCTAGCCAAAGCTAGCCCTGAAAATGCCCTGTGACCCATGCCTGCTTGGACTGCAGGTTCACTTCCACAACCCGTGTCAATGAGTCATTCAGTGTCAAATGGAGGCAGATCTGGGCATCTGTGGTTCTCACCTGAACTGGTACCCAGGACTTGGGCAGGCCTGTGACCTCACTCTCACCATGTTCATTCTTTAACAATGTGTGGGTTTCACCATAAGGCAACACAGAATCTGTAGGAGAAATAATTCATTGCAGACAGACATTAAGAGTAAGCCACATAAAATCTGTGAAGTTGAGTTTACACACACCTATCCGAAGTGGCAAGGATTTTCCACCTGGTCCTTGTCCCCCTTGAGAGGGCCGCGAAGGTGCTACAATAGGCTCCTTCTACCTCCAGGACCCCTTTCCAGTTCTCCCTTGATAGTTGGCTGCTATGCCATCATTCGTTCAGCCATATGTAACTGTGTCAATGGTTTTTACTGCATACAGTTAGGCAAATGGAAGAAAGAATGTCAGAATAAGGAAACTGAGAAAGAACAGAAAGCACAATAGGAAAAAGGTTAATGTTGTGTTTTGGTTCCCTTTGTGGGTTTTGTTGTTGTTGTTGTTATTGTTTTTGTTTGATTTTTTGTTTTCCAAGTATGATTTCTAAAGAAAGAAAAGCACAAATTACACATGAACACATCCATGTGAGTCACAGCCCTTCTTCCTTCAACAGCAGTTTCTTGGAGACTGCCTTTGGCCAAAGACACACTGGCTGCCATTGAGCATCTTGTACAAATAAGCAAAATAGTCAGTGTTTAACAGCAGGGTGTGTGGGGTTGCATGAGCAAATGAGACAGTCAAAGAAGCTGCCTAGAGGAGGAGCTTTGGAGCACAAGCTAAAGGATGAAATATAAATCAGTTAGATGAAAGTATTTCAAAAAGGCAGACAGTATATGAGGGTAGAAACAAAGCCAATGTGGCTTGAAGGTGCCCACCCAGTGTGCAAGCACTGCACTAATGAAGGCATGGCAGGAGAAGTTGCAGGAGCACCAAGAAGATGGGAGACCATGAAATAAAGTGCATTTTGACCAAGGAGATGGAAAGTACTGTTGAAGCTGCAGACTCAGCTTTGTGTGTGATCAATATGGAATTGCACAAATATCTCTCTGGAAGTGATATGACAAATACACTCTGGGGGGTTAGGGGTGGCAAAGCTGCAAGTGGCAAGGGTCAAAATGTGAAATTTTGGGGAACAGAGATGGGAGCTGACAATGTCCTGTTTTCTTCTGTCTATTTTCATCCAGGTCAGGTAAAATGAATGCAAAGGAGGCAGCCATAAGGAGAGTGTGGGGTGAGGGGACTATAAGGCCGGGTTGGGCAGTTTTGGAATGATCATGCATAATCAGCACCAGGCCCTCTGTGGGGCTGAAGAAGAGGGAAGGTGCAGCAATGAGGCCCCAGATGCTCTTCCAGCATGAGCGTGAGCGTGTGAGCTGGAGGCTATGCTGGCTGGTAGTGTTGGTCTTTAACTGGCACCACAGGTCACAGCCTATCGCTGCAGTCGCTCCATAGTGCTCCCCAGCAGGCAACAGACCCACCAAGGAATACAGAGGAATAGCAAAGAGAGCACTGGTAGAGGTTCCATTGTGATGTACCAGGTGGTGTTTTCCAGTTCATAGAAGCTTTGCAGGTGCAAAACACCCAGCCACGAAGCTAGATTTCCGGCCTCTTCTTCCATGGTGGCCAAGCCAGAACCCTACTGGACTTTGTGCTGTATGTGCCTTTCCTCCATGGAGATTCCTGCTGGAAGTCACTTCTGATTGCAGGGAATGTAGGAGAGAAGAGGATGATACAGTTCCACAAGTCTGACCCCCAAGCATTTTCTCAGCCAGGTGCACAAAGTTGGAAGGGAAGGAACTGCTGTTGCTTGAGGATTGAATCAGGAGTGAGTTCTAGCTACTACTCCAAAATGTTTGTGGAAAAGGTACAATGTCTTGTAATTCTGTTTGTCCCAAAATTTTTTAAACACCCAAGAGTTGGTAGCAATGCATACTTTATGAGGGACTATACTACTGTAATAATATAGGAGAAATTGGTGGGGGTGAAAGGGGATTTCGGGAGGAAAGTAAGGAAAATCCCAGTGTCTGTGGAACTGTATCATCAAATTGTAAAATGAATATATTTAATTTAAAGAGAGCCAAGTGTCGACAGCAGTGTGTCCTGCCTTGAGCACAGGGATACAGGCCATTGCACAGGACATAGCAAGGATCCTTCCACATGGCACTCACCCATGCAGACTGAATAGAACCATGAGCCAGCTCCCTGAAATGCCTAGTTTGCCTCAGCCCCAGGCATGGAAAGGGTATTTGTGGGAGTGAACCAGAGAGGAAGGACATGTCGAAGGAGAGAAAGCCAGCATGAGGGTGTAGCAAGCTTTGTCCTTTGACTCCACAGAAAGTGCTGTATGGACAACACAGTGAGTATTTACAGCAGGAACAAATCACAGTGCCGCTCCCCTATTCAAGATTTCCTCTTCCTCAAATTCATCCAGCTGTGCCTAGAAAATGTTTAGGGGAAACACTGAGTATGTACAGAATATGGTCAGAAGCTCTCATGTGTATCCGTTTCCCCAAACAGTACAGTCTAGCAAATCTTTATTTCCCACTTATGCTGATTGCTTCGGGAGCTATTTGGCAGCTATTTCTGGGACTTCTTGACATGCCGACCTATACAACCAGAAGCTCTGGTTTTGCCATTATTGTGAAATCTCTGAATAGATGACCTTCTGTCTTTCACAATTGGAGTGTTAAGCCACTGCTCCCAAATCAGATGTCTAAAAGGGTTAATTAAAGCATGAAACCATAAGGCTCAGGCTTCAAGGCTGCAAGCTCTAGGACTGAATGGAAGAACCCATATGGAACCTGAAAGCCTGTTTTGAGTTTGTTCTATCCTGGCCAGAAGTGGCTCAGTGCTATGCATCCACAACAATTCCCTGACCAAGAGGACACAGGCATAGTGGGGCCAGGAGCTTTGAAATATCTGTGTTGGATTCAGTGCAGCAGTGCAAGCCAGAGCACAGGTCCACTGTCTGGTTCATTAGGTGCCTAACTCATCTGGGCATCCAAACTTCTGTACAGCTCAGGACTCCCATCTCCATTTGTCGGGAGGGTTCTTGGCCAACAGTACCGGAATAGCCAGGAAGCTTATGTTTCAGAACAATAGTAGAACTGCCAAAAAATGTTGCCACCTTGCAATTCTCTCACCTCCCTGTTTGGCTCCCTCTTAAAGAACATCTGTTTACAGGCAGAGCTAATGAGAGCCTTTTAAGGAAATTTGCTCCTTCTATCTTCCACCTACCGATAGCAGCCGGGGCAGTCCACATTAATCTCAAGTCACACCCACTCACAAGAGACCCCTCACTTCTTTCCTTGATATCATCTTCACTCTCTGTGGGCTGCATTGACCTTTCTGCAGGTGGTACTTGAGCTGAGTCTGTGGTTTCCCTTGTCCAGATGGGGAAACAGCCAAGTTCTCCAGGCAGAACCCCAGCGCCCTGCCTTGTGCTGGAGTGATTGACAGAATGCACTCTGTGCCCAGTGCATCACAGCAGCAGCTGGCAGACAGATTGCTGTGCTAAACAGGGTCCTTCTTGAACAACAGGTGCAACAGCTGGAGGGTTCTGTGGATGCTGAAAGCAGTGTTCAGAAGTAGGTGTGATTGCTTCAAACAATAAATTTCAACTTATTGAAGCTTTGGGTTGGGTATTAGAAAGATGTCTTCTGAGCCATGAATGGCCATAGCACATTACAATGCAGGTGGAAAAAACCAATCTGCCCTAGGACAGTTAACCTGAGCCTCACCCTCTGCTTGCAAAGGAGGATCTCCCTTCCATTGGGTAGAGCACCTCCAGAGGAGGGAGCCTTGGAGAGGTCATTTCAAATCTGGACCTGAAACAACAACGTGCATCACTTAGAGGAATGCCAAGGCCTCGTTGGCAGCAGCCCCATTTGGGGTTCGGTTCTTTTTTACATCATACAACAAAATCGCTGCTGACTCGCATATTCTCTCCGCAGGTCCAGGCGCAGTCAGCGAGGTAAGCAACGGGACGTCACGGAGGGCAGGCTGCATTTGGCTGCTCCCCCTCCTGATCTTGCACCTGCTGCTGAAATTTTGATGTGAGTGCCACATCCCCAGTGGGGAAATTTGCCGCCACTGTCACCACCAACACAACAGCACCGACACTACGACAGCAACAATTAAGATAGAATCAAATGAAATCTGGAAAATCAAAGCTTAATGGGACAGAAATTTGAGGGAGGGGAACAAAGAATACTTTAGGAAACAAACAAAAGTTTTAAACAGGAAATTGCAAATTGCCTTGCAGATGTCTAGGTACAAGCGAGTTTTCTTTCTTTTCCCTAACGGGAAGGAGGCATACCGGCTTGGACCCACCCACAAGCTGCCCTATGCGGCCTTTCAGCTGTAAGAGCAGGCAAGGGCTCAGCCAGTCTGCCCACTGAAGCGCCCCCACCGTGGAACATTCTGGAGGCGGCCACCCAGTCAGCCAACAGAGGTGTGCTCGCGTGAAATACGTGGCCCCAGGTGTGCTGCCACGGGCCCTTCGGTGGACTGCCACCACCCTGTGTGTTGCGGATCTTGAGATCTAAAGAACAGAAGACAAGGAAACAGTACAAAACAGCCTGACAGCAACAACAGTCCCACCACCAAGTCACAAACGATTGCAGTCAACTTTTTTTCTGCTTTTGTTTTTCCTTTTACTACATGGACATCACGGCGAATAAGGGATTGTGACTCATGATTAATTTTATTAATTATATTTTCTGAGTCTAGAGCTTAATGTAAAAGCCAAGCTAAGAAAATACACACATGGAAGGGGTGAAAAGAAGCGTGTTTGTTAAGCACTAAAAAATGCATAGTGTGCTTCTTAACTAGGTTTACAATGGGTGGGCCACACACTGGGCATTAACCACCTAGTGAAGATTTGGCACAGCCACCAAAAACCACATCTGACTCAACCAACATATCCACCAGCGCGACAGATTCTTCCTCATTCCAGCAATTCATACACACAGTACCATGATACCCACATGCTGGCTAGAACAGGAAGATGGGCTGCACTGTCTCGGCTTCGTTGGCAATGCTTCTTTGAATGACATATATTATACAGTATATATATGCATATATTTTTTTTGTTAGAGTTCTAGCCATTTAATTTCCCAGCAGGGCCGTTTCTCAGACATTACTGCATGCTGTATATGGCGTTAGCTGTGTGTTGATCTTCTACAAGATGATAGAGTTTACTGGTAATTGTGTAATTAGCTCCTGCCTTTTTTATTTTCTTGGGTTATTCACATGTCAGAGACACTTGTTTAAAAAAAAAAAAAGTAAAAGAAAAAAGCAACAGCAGCAACAACTAATACCAGGCACAGCATCTTTTCAGGTGTGGCTCTTGGGGGAAGGGTCCCAGGTGGCCTTGCTCCCTCAGCCATGCCCCGGGCATTAACAAGCAGCAAGCCGCTGAACAAACTCACTGTTGGTAACCACATGCTTTTGCCCATCATGGGAATTTCTGATGGCTCTGTGACAGACCGCTGGAGAATTTAATCCTCTTGGTTTATTTTATTTAATTTCCCACTTTTGTGTGAGTGTGTATGGAAGAGGAGAAAATGCAGTTTTTAGGTAACCTTTTCTTTTCCTCCCCTGGAATTTTGAGACCAGAGAGGCCTCGGGGAGGGTTCCTGGACCTGACCAGGGAGAGGGGAAAGGGGATGGGGAGGGAGGGCTTGTCTCTGACTTGACATTAAAAAGTGTTCCATGTCCCTCTTCACCTGGTGTGGTGCCTCATTTTGTAGCAAAGATTGGGTTGGAAATACCGGGAGAGGGCTTGATTTTCAGATCCCAGGAAGCAGGGATCTTTTCGTGACCAAAGCTCAAGTGAGAGAAACAGGGTGGTGGGACATCTCCACCTGCTTTACAGAAGCAAAGCGAGGTTCTGGTGCTGTCCAATGCTCCCACATCCTTCTCATTCACACTTCTGGGACCCCGGCCCCAGACAAGTCTAGTTATGCAAAAGAAGGCTTTGAGCTGTGATCATTTGTGCGAGGCAGCAAGACATTGCTATCACATGCAGATGAACAGCAAGAATACTTAAGAATATTGTGCTTAACACTAAAGAATTCCAAATCTCGTCCACCAGGACTTTGGGGACTTTCTTGCCTCCATGCCTGGTCTCAACAACATCAGCTACCAATAAAGAAGAAAGACAGGATTTTTTAAACACATAGTCTAATGATTCTAACCTTTTTGGTCAATTTCTGGGCATCAAGAGCTAGGCCGAAGAGTCACTGAGGGAAAGAAATGGGGTCAGAGCCAACTCAGGGCTCATTACACCTGCACGTTTCAGGGGCTAATTCAGCCAAAGAGGAGCCCGCCATATCTGAGAAGGGTCTTCCTCAGCTGCTGTTGAGAAGCAGAGAGACCACAGACTTCTGCATTCTTTGTGTCCTACTGCTCCCCTTCTTCATGCCTGGGAGTTACACAGACTTCTTCCTGGTAACAGAGTGGGGAGCCTTTGGGACTGTCTTGATGTTGTCCTACCATACGTGCCAGAACCACTAAAGGGGAGGGGATTTGGATCTCCTAAAAGAGAACATATGTAAGGGAGCCTGAGGAATTCTGCTATGCCCCCAGCACCTACTGACCCTGTCCGGATGTGTACACTATGTCTCATGGCAATGGATTAAGGGAACCACAAATGACTTTGATATTCCAACACTGGAGCCCAGAAGTACCCCTGGAGAAAGGTGTTTCCTGTATGTGGTCATGGGGAGGGAGCCCACTCCAGATAGCCTCTGTTAGAATAAGGGCTTTCCCTTCTACCAAGAGCATTGGACAACTTCTAGTAGGTAGCAGTAACGTCTGATGCCACATCATGCTTCAGATGACTTGGTGGTGGGCTTCCCTGGAATGAGTGATCAGTTAGAGCCAAGTCTTTACAATGGCCCTAGTGACTAAGACTTCATTTGACCTATCTGCCAATCCAGTAGTCTTGTGGCCTTGTGATTCCTTAGCACTCTGGCCGCACAACAGCCTATCTTCATAGAACCAGCCTTACCATGTCTGGTGAGTTCTCCAGATGGGGAACTTTCCTGTGCTGCCTCACAGGTTGTCCTCCCATCATCTCACTCACAACTTACATGGAGCACACAGCACCATCTTATGAGTATTCATCTTCTTCTAGCAGAATATCTATTTTTCCTGACATACAGCTGTTTTCATCAATATTTGCACACAATGGGTTTAGATACCTGACTTGAAGTACCTATAAATACTGGACCAAAGACGACTCCTTCTGCGTTGAGCAAATCCAAGTCGGACCTCTGTCCATAGCTCACAGTCCACATTTGTTGTTGCTCTGGAAGGTGGCAGCTGGAGGTAAGTAAACGAATGAGCTAACACTAAAATCTGGTACACAGTCTACATGTTCTACTCACTCACTGCCTGTGTATCTCATACCTTCTAGATTTTGAGGTTAGAAGGGCAGAGAGTAGCACTAATCAATCACAGGGCTCTAATGGGTTAAAAAAAAAAAAGTATAGGAGATGGGTTCAAATAGTAACGGTGTTCTGTCTTGGAAACAGTACACATTTAAGATGCCGCTCATTGGAAAAGTATACTACATGTGAAAAGAAGTGTCTGGAAAACAAGAGGTCCTCTTAGGTTGCCAGTACTTCATTGTGCTACTAGCAGCCAAAGCTACAAGTGCACACCAAGACCTTTACACCTACTGGGCAACTTAAAACCACTAAGATTACTAATATGTGAGATATGAATTTAGTACCAGCTCTTTTCAGGTTATATACAGGTTTTTAAATTTTAAAACAAGTTCCCGCTGAACTTGCTTGCTAGGATTTGCTGGTGTGACAGTATCTTCTTTGTCATCTGTAATAATTCAACCAAAGCACTTTAGATTATGATTTCTTAACTGATTCTCTTTTATTTTTAACGCAAAAGTTATTTCTGTGAGTGGCCATCTCCATCAGCTTCCAAGACAATAAATACACACGGGTATCACTATTGTCTGTGAAGTCTCCACACTGTAGTCCACACTTCCCTGATTCCTACAGCCCCAGCTCTCCCCCACTGAGCCCTGTGGCATGATTACAGCCAGTCTGCTGTTTGTGGAAAACAGTCCCTAATATCTGAGCTCAAGATTAGTTCTTACAAAGTACATGTGCTGTGCTTTGGTTTAGTATTAGCCTTTTTCAAGCTATCTGAAAAGCAGAGTTACAGAGAGCAGCTTCTATCTGCTGGCTCACTCTCCAAATGGCCACAATAGCTGCGGCTGAGCCAGGCTGAAGCCCAGAACCTGAGATCCATGAGACTTTGCAGGTGAGTGTCTGTGGTGACCCAAGCACTTGGCCATCTTCTGCTGCCTTCCCAGGCTCATTATAGGGGAGCTGGAATGAAAATGGAACAGCTGGAACTTGAACTGCTGCCATAGGTGATGTTGACACTGTAGGCAGTGGCTTAACTAGCTATGTCACAGTGCCAACACACTGGTTTTAGTTTCTTGAATGCTTACTATACTCTCATTCACAATTCTGAATAACTTGACTATTTTCTTCTGACACATTGTGAAAATACTGATTTTACCTACACAGCTTGAGGAGCATTATAGGCAAAGGGATCATTCGCACCATACATTTGTTGAATTAGAACATGCTAGAGCATTTCCACAGTGCTGATTGTTTCCAGGAAAGTTTTGGTTTTGGAATTCGCTTGTCAGTGCTCTAGTTTTGATACAGCACTGGGCTACTTATCAGTAGTAGAACTGGTTCTAATGAAGGCTCCAACACTGGCCAGATGAGCTCCTCTGAGTATTTATCATGAGAGATTGCAAATGTTCCATCCAGATTTAAAATTCAATAATCAAAGGTGTGAATGTGGGCAAGTTCTATAGCCCATGCATTGTCACTGCTTCCAGTGGGCAAGTTCTATAGCCCATGGATTGTCACTGCTTCCAGGCTGTCCCATAAGGAGGAAACACGCACAGCCTGGCTGTCACCCTCGTAGATGTTGGAGGTAACTGCTTCAGGAGTGTGGCGGGGGTGAGGGGAGAGGAGACAGACACTGCACAGCTTGGAAAGGACTGTTGCTTAACAAAAGATGGTGGGTTTTTCTGGAGAAGAAAGTACTGTGTGTCCCAAGCTTCTATCTATATGGCATGCCTAAAACAAAACATAAGAAACAGATGCCCATCTTAAAGGCTGGGGAAGTAAAATAAACTGAGAATATGCAATGTTCTCAACATTCTTGCCAGAAGTACGTATATGTGTGTGCTGTTTACTGCAATTACTTAATTACTTACTTCTTCAACACAGATGACACCTGTTTTTTCCCTAGATTCATCTTTAAAATGACAGGAATTAATAATGAAATAGGGAGTTTCCTGATAAGGCTTTTAATACTGGTACCTTATCATCCTGGTAAGTTTGGTGCCCAAGGACCCAAGGAAGCCTACCCTGTTCT